TACTCACTCAAAACCAAATAAATGCTGAATAACTGAACCTTATAAATTGTATATCCTATATGTTACTCACAATTATATCACACAAATGTTAAACCTAGGACCCAATCTAACTTTGTTATTTTTTTAAATACACTACCTAACAGAATACTCCATTCGACTGAATGTACAGCAATGCATGCAACCATATGACCTGTCTTTGTAATACTCATTTGTGCTTTATAGTTATCTGTTTACAATAATGTTTTATCACTGATTTCATCATTGCTTAGTTAATCTTAAGTTAATTTTAAGCCAGCCCGTAATGCTATGCATATAAGTGGCTTTGGCATGCTGCTCTTACCTGTATTTTTTTTGTACCTCTGTATGTATGCTAAAATTACTAAATAAATAATTAAAACTCTAAAGAACAAGACAGGTGACCTAAATAACTTACCACCACTCATGTATAAAAAAGCTTCTCATGTATTGTCACCATTTATTGCAACCCTGTTTAACAAATCCACTGAATCTTCCACCCTCCCATCTATACTCAAGACAGCAAGGGTCACCCCGAGCCACAAAGGAAGTGATCCAACTGAATTGAACAACTATAGGCCTATATCAAATTTGCCCCTATCTAAAATCTTTGAAAAATTAATTCACAAACAAGTCTACTCCTACTTAGTATTCTACAACATACTCAACCCCTGTCAATTTGGATTTAAACCAAAGAAAAAGTACAAACAATGCAAAAAAAAAAAAAAAAAAAAAAAAAAAATGAATTTCCCCCGGGACTCTTCATTGACTTACGAAAAGCTTTTGATACAGTTGACCACGACCTATTATACCAAAAACTTCAACATTACGAGGTCATAGGACACTCTCTCAAATACCTAAAATCTTATCAATAGAATGGAGCTAACTCCACTACACAATCAGTTCTTGTTGGAGTCCCACAGGGAGGGGCCTTGGCCCATTTCTCTTTCTCATCTACAGTGGACCCTCGGTTATCAGCCATTCTGGATATCGGCCAATTAAGTTATCGCCAGGTTTTTTGGCCAAAATTTTATCCCTGTTATAGGCTGTTATTTTGGTTATCAGCTGTACTGGACGCATCCATCCACAGCAAAGTACGAAAGTGAAGGAGGAAGAGAGAGGGGAGAATGTACCTTCTTCAGTGATTCTACGATATGTACAATACTAAAGCAGCAGGAGTCAATAAAACCTATAGCGCCAGCCGGCGATAAAGTGTAGCATTAAGAGTGTAGCAAGTAAGTTAAGCGATTAAACGATAGAAAAAGGACGACATGAAATTGACTCCTCCAATGTTGTTGGAGGTATACAGGGCCACTGACAATACATGCCACCCTGCCTATCTTCCACCACCCTAAACCATTGCCAGCATCACCTCCAAGGTACAGTAAACGTAATTATTTCTTATTTATAAAGTGTAAATATTTCTAATTTATAAATTAACCCTTTCAGGGTCCAGAGGCCAAATTTCAAAGTGTGCACCAGTGTCCAAGAATTTTCAAAAAATAATTTTGTTATTTTTTCTTATGAAATGGTAGAGAATCTTTTTCTGAAGGTAATAAAACAAAAAGTATGAAATTTGATGGAAAACTGATGAAATTATGCTCTCATGAATTTTGATGTGTCAGCAATACTTACGCATCGGCAATTTTGCCGACTTGGACACCCTTTTAGGCCAATTACCTTATTCCAGTCGACCAAATTCTTAGCTATTTCACTAGTATTACTTCTATTCTATCAATTGAGCACAAGAAATTGCTAACTCAACTGTCTCAACTACAAAATAAAGTGATTGGAAATTGGTAATTTGGCCAATTTAATGCAAAGTTCAAAATATTCCAATTTCAAAATAGGGTCCAAAATAAACAATGCATGCATTCCTTGGCACTAAACTAACATTTCCTCTGTTCATTAGTTACATTTTCAGGCTTTACAAATGAATTCCATTTTGATTTTTAATTCACATAATGAATTTTTATTCAAACTAAAAAATAGAAGATTTACTGTCATGCAATATTGTAATAACTGTATAAATAATATCAGCATATTTGTGAACGTATATTAGACCCACCAGCTGGCGTGTATTAGACGAATGAGGTCATTTGTTTACTCTTGAACATCGGCAAAAATTTAACATTTCTGCTACTTTGAGCTCAGTTTCAAGCCATTTTCAGTACTAAAACAAATCAAAATATATCTTCCATTTTATCAAAATATATCTTCCATTCTATCAAATGAGACCAAGAAATCACAAATACAACTGTAAAAAACATATGAAAAAACACTGCAAAGTTGCTGTTTTAATCGAAAATTACGGTCTCAGTTTTCTTTCTCTCATTATGCACTGTGTGCTGCAGGATTTGTTTTATGTGGTGCACACATACCACATAGATGTATTCTCTCATATTTAGGCCCAAATTTACCACTCACAGCTTATCAGAGTGAGCTGAGCTCATGGCGTAGATCTACGGTTTGGACCCTCAACGTCAAGCCATAGATCTATTGCACGGACCCTGAAAGGATTAAAGTGTAAATATTTCTTATTTATAAATTACGTACATTGTTTCAGTATGAATAGTGGTGGTAGCAGAGCCACCACCACCACTGTATGTATGGATTATGCTGTTGGTGGCCCTTATAAACCCAACACCATCACCACCACCACCACCAGTTCTCACATACGTAATGACATATGTTAATCATTCTAGAGTATATATCATGTTTCTATGTTATTAATATTGTTTATGTCATATTAGATGAATTGTGATAGATAAATAAGCCGTGGAGTTGATATTAGCATCATATTTAAGCATTTTGTCCTGTCTCCAAACAATAAACTAGCCTCCCTCTCCGCTCCTTGCCATTTTTCATACGCCAACAACTCTTCAATAAAGGTAAAAATTATTTAAATGTTCATTTATTCATTTCATTAGTCATTTTATTTAGTTCTCATTGTTTTTTGTATGTAAAACTACAGTTAATATTTTTTGTTAATATTTTTGGATGTCTGAAACGTATTAATTGGATTTACATTAATTTTTATGGGAAATATTATTTAGGTTTTCGGCCATTTCGGTTTTAGGCCGACCTTCTGGAACAGATTACGGCCAATTACCGAGGGTCCACTGTACATCAATGACCTCCTAAACATATCTAAACTCCTTAAACCCATTTTATTTGCAGATGACACTACTTATGTCTTCTCTTACCCAAACCCAACCATACTAACAGATACTGTAAATGCCGAACTACTAAAAATATCTACTTGGATGACCAACAAACTTACTCTCAATATAGACAAAACCTACTTTATGCTGTTTGGAAACAGAGCTACAAATGTATAGCTAAACATACTGACAAATGGTTCACCCATTTCTAGACACACAAAGGGTAAGGCTCTAGGTCTCCACCTAGACTGCAACCTCAAATTCCAAACTCACATACAACAAATATCCAAGAAAGTCTCAAAAACAGTAGGCAGCCTTTCAAAGATATGGTACTATGTACCCCAATCAGCTCTCCTTGCACTATACCACTCACTCATCTACCCTTACCTCACCTATGGTATTTGTACATGGGGCTCAGCCACAGCAAATCACCTTTAATAATCCAACAAAAAACTGCACTGCGATTGATTACCAACTCCTGTAATAGACAGCATACTCCTTCGCTTTTCAAGAGTCTTAACTTACTCAATATACAAAACATCCACACTTACTATTGTGCCTACTACATGCACAATATAAACCCGCCTCTCAAACTCCTACTTACCAACTACAACAGAACACAACCATAATACAAGACACAAATCACTCTTCCATGACCCTCGTGTTCATCTCTCCCTGTGCAAAAATGCTGTGTACGTAAAGGGCCCAAAGATCTGGAATTCCTTACCAGAACACACTAAAGAACTCCTGCCTGTAAATCAATTTAAGGTCCTACTTAGAAATCATTAATGAGATGATTTCTAAGTTTTTTTTTTTTTTAAACTTAGAAATCATCTCATCACCCAAAATTAACCAGAAAAGTTGTACTTAATGCCTACCTCTTACTCAAGCAACACAAAAAGAACCAATGATGTCTCAATTTCAATAATGAATATTGTTCAAATTTCATTGTTCTGAATACTAAATTCTAATATTCACATTATAAATTGATTAATTTGTTCTATTGTAAAACTGTAATATTTCAAAATTGTAATGTTCAAATTTCATTGTTTAAATACTCAATTGTACTTTATATTGTAAAATGTTTACTGTAATTTTTACCATTTAATCTGTTATGGCCCAATTAATCTTAAGTTAACTTTAAGTTTCCCCAAAAAATGCTCTGCATACAAGGGGCTCTTGGCATGTCCACTCAACTACAATATTCTTTTGTATAACTATGTATCATGTCAAAATAAATATTATTATTATAATTATTATTCTTTCTTTCTTTCAACACACTGGCCGTATCCCACCGAGGCGGGGTGGCCCAAAAGGAAAAACGAAAGTTTCTCCTTTTACATTTAGTAATATATACAGGAGAAGAGGTTACTAGCCCCTTGCTCCCGGCATTTTAGTCGCCTCTTACAACACGCATGGCTTACTGAGGAAGAATTCTGTTCCACTTCCCCATGGAGATAAGAGGAAATAAACAAGAATAAGAACTAGAAAGAAAATAGAAGAAAACCCAGAGGGGTGTGTATATATGTGCTTGTACATGTATGTGTAGTGTGACCTAAGTGTAAGTAGAAGTAGCAAGACGTACCTGAAATCTTGCATGTTCATGAGACAGAAAAAAGGACACCAGCAATCCTACCATCATGTAAAACAATTACAGGCTTTCGTTTTACACTCACTTGGCAGGACGGTAGTACCTCCCTGGGCGGTTGCTGTCTACCAACCTACTACCTATATAATTATTATTATAATAATAATAATACATTAAAAAATGGAAGCCTAAAGTATGGTGATCTACAGGTAAGTGTCATTGATAAGTCTTACCTCTATAATCAAATGCGATAACATGATAATCCATCTTCCTAAGCACTTTATAGAGCTCAATCCTGTGTGCAGTCGCTCGAGATGAAGTATTCCCATGCAAGTACAGCACAACAGGTCTTTCATCACATAAGCTTTTTTCAAACCAGGCCACTTGGTCTGAGGATTCCTCTTTTGGAATTGAAGAAATGAGTGACTCGGGAGTATATGCCTGGAAAACGAGAATCTAATACACATTTCATTTTGTTTTAGAGGTTATTTATCTTTAGATTAACATAAGTTTTTTGTTATACAATGATATTAGTATGAGTGATTGAATATTTACGTCTCAGTGTAACTGCCTATCACATTACAAGTGGACAATAATGCTGACAAGGACACAAATCATGAATTATGCACTAGTCCCTCCTTCTACCTTATGGATGATACTGGCAGACATTATTACAATAGCTGTGTAAAGTGTAACATAGGCAAAGAACTATACATATGTAGTGATAAAAGTGTGTGATCAAATTATTTTTTCTTTATTACACATCAGTCATTTCCCACCAAGGCAGGGACACCATAAAAAGAAGAAATGCTTTCATCATCATTCATTCCATCACCATCTTGTCAGAGGCATGCCCACAGGGGCATCGTAAGGGAGGCAGGGGCGCCCCGGGTGACACCATTTAGGGGTGACACCATAGAGCCTCTAAAGAAGGTGATACTAATGCCCAAAACAGTGCTGCACCAACATCAGAGAAGACTCCTTCATTTCTATATAGCCTATTATATATTAACAAAGTACAAATACAGAAGGGCCCCGCTTTATGGCATTTCGCTTTGCAGCGTTTCACTAATATGGTCATTTCAAATTATGACCAAAACTCTCTATACGGCTCCCCCCACCTGACTTTCTAATATGGTCACCGTGCCCCACCCGGTTTGTTTACATTCTCCGTGAGATCCGTAAGCACTAAGTCTCTCCATTATGTCTGAAAACTCCGAAATTTTAAGTGTTTTTAAAAGTTATTTCATATTTTATATATACTCTGAGAATTATACTTACGTATACTTGTACCTAAATAAACTTACACACTGTGCTGGCATGCAGGTACACATTAAAATCAGTAAGAGTGTCTTATGTCTCGAGATGTCAATTTAGTAATGATAATAATAATCACCGAGTCTCATTAAATGTTGTATATTAACCCTTTGACTGTTTCAGGCCCCTCTCTGAAACTGTCATTCTATGTCGCCAAATATTCAAAAAAAAAAAAAATTATTTTTTCTTATGAAAATGTTAAGATTATTTTTCTGAGTGTTTTAGTCCAAAAAAAAATTTTTGCCATCGGTACTTACCGAGATATAGAGCCATGAAGTTTGCAGAAAATGAGCCGTGTATGGCAACAGCGGCGACTGCCGCTCACCCCGTAAACTTTAGTTTACTTGTAATTGAAGGTTTTTGTTTTTTTCACTATTTTATTTTTTCACATAACTTATGTGGCCTATGAGACCAAAGTAAGGTGCAATGTATATATATATACACTCGTTGTATACAACACAATAAGCACACAAACATAATTATCAATATATTGTTTACAAAACTTGTTTACAAAAACAAACAAACAATCATCCTCCTCCTCCTCCTTCTCCTCCTCCTTCTCCTCCTCCTCCTTCTCCTTCTCCTCCTCCTCCTCCTTCTCCTCCTCCTCCTTCTCCTCCTTCTCCTCCTCCTTCTTCTCCTCCCCTTCTTCTCCTCCTCCTTCTCCTTCTCCTCCTCCTTCTCCTCCTCCTCCTCCTTCTCCTCCTCCTCCTCCTCCTCCTTCCTCCTTCTTCTCCTTCTCCTCCTCCTCCTCCTCCTTCTCCTCCTCCTTCTCCTCCTCCTCCTTGTCTTGTGTGCGAGTGTATGGCTTATAATTGTTTTGAGTCAGAAGTCGGCAGCTGTCAAAGTGACATATTGTCTCATTAGTCACTCCCCCCCCCCGCCTGTCAAAACAATGGGGTCGGATGCTGCTTCCCCTCCTCCATTCTATCTAATTATCTTTCTCCCTCATTCTATATCTTTCAATCTGTCTCTCTTTCTATCTGTCTGCCTATCTCTGTCTCACAGGTACACATAAATACAAGTATACATAGTGTAAATTACCTAGGATAACCCAAGAAATCCAGACAAAGTGCTATACTCTGCTTGAAGATGTGAGTAAACGTGATGACACAGTCTGTGGCTCTCTCTGAGACAGAGAGCTAGATGGACAGACAGAGGAGCTTGACAGACAGACAAATAGACAGACAGAAATGTTTGTGTACCAGCAAAAACAAAGGGAGGGCGTGGTCATGTAATATTACCCTCCTTTACGCTCATCAAAGTCAGCTCTTATCAGATGTTATCTCCCCTTATCTTGTCACTGTCATGGGGTGGACTTTTTTTTTTCTTGCTTCAAGGGAACAATATTATTACATCTTCTTCCTCCTCCTCCTCCTCCTCTTCTCCTCCTCCTCCTCCTCCTCCTCTTCCCTCCTCCTCCTCCTCCTCCTCCTCCTCCTCCTCTTCCTCCCCACCTCCCCCTCCTCCTCCTCATTGCTTTTGGTCTCAAACTCCTCCAAATCATGAAATTGATCTTCACTGACACTTCCATCGTGTTAGAGCATCACTTGGAAGAGAAGAGTCCCAGATTTGCTGGGGAATCACATATTTCTTACCGCTAGACATGCTGAAAAAGGACAACTGAAATGGCATTCCCACAATGCACCACTGGCTCCCCGATTTTTTTTATATGGTGCACACTGACCATGGAGACCCATTCTCTCACATGTGGGCCTACCAGCTTTCTCCTGCTTGATTTGAAGCTGCTAGAATTTATGCGTATAAATACGTCAGAAACATTGGCTCGTAAGACGTATTTATACGTCGGAAACAGTCAAAGGGTTAAGTTAATATAAACATTTTCAAAATTTTATAATAAACACGATACATAACATATAGAGATGATACATACACCCCACAGTAGAATAAACAAATATGAGATGTGGTAGCCAGATAACTTGTACAAGTGACAGCAAGAATAACATTTTCTCTAGTCCAACATAAGAGAAAATGTGTTACTGTGGGCAACTGTAGAAAATTATTTGTTTCGTATGTAAGTAAGTTTAATCAGGTATACACAAATACAGTGACATAGATTATCACACAGCAGCATATGTGTAAAGTACCAAGGATAACCCAAAAAAGTCAGAGTGACTTATTTCCATTGCCTTCACTCAGAGTGTCATTTCTTCTAAAAATGGTGTTACATGAGAATGGGAGTGTTCTTCTTTATCTATTCAACAGTATCAATGTAGAGACAACTTGTACACAATGTAAGTTGTACACAAACCAGATGTGTACGCTTGGCTTGTTTACAAAACTGGTGTTCGCCTGGTTTGTTTACATAACTCTTCGCCTGTCCTCTCTCATATACTCATTCTCTCTCTCTCTCTCTCATTTATTCGTTTTATCTCGTTTACTCACCCCTGACCCTACATTAAGACTACAAATATTTTAAGGTATGTAATGAGTGAACTGTATATGCATTTTATCGCTCTGGGATCCTTAAATATCATAAAATATTATGTGTGGGTGGAGTAGCCTGGCTGGCTACCATACATACTACACTTGATTTCTTACAATAAATACTACTCATCTCACCCTCGATTAAGACTACAAACATTTTAAGGTAAGTAATGAGTGAACTGTATATGCATTTTATCGCTCTGGGATGCTTAAATGTCATAGAATATTGTGTGGGTGGAATGGCCTGGTATGGTAGCCTGGCTGGCTACCATACATACCTCACTTGATTTCTTACAATAAATACGTACTACTCATCTCACCCTAGATTAAGACTACAAATATTTTAAGTAATGAGTGAACAGTATATGCATTTTATCGCTCTGGGAAGCTTTAACCCTTTCAGGGTCCGTGTCATAGTTCTACAGCTTTGAGTTGAGGGTCCAAACCGTAGATCTACGCCATGAGCTCAGCTCACTCTGACAAGCTGTGAGCAGTAAATTTGGGCCTAGATATAAGAAAATACATCTATGCGGTATGTGTGCACCACATAAAACAAATCCTGCAGTACACAGTGCATAATGAGAGAACAAAATTGAGACCATAATTTTCGATTAAAACAGCGAGTTTGCAGTGTTTTTTCATATGTTTTTTTATAGTTGTATTTGCGATTTCTTGGTCTCATTGGATAGAATGGAAGTTATGTTACAGAAATAGAGATGATTTTGATTGGTTTTAGTACTGGAAATGGCATGAAACTGAGCTCAAATTAGTAGAACTGTTAAATGTTTGCCGATGTTCAAGAGTAAACAAATGACCTCACACGTCTAATACCCACCAGCTGGTGGGTCTAATATATGTTCATAAATGTGCTGATATTATTTATACAATTATTGCAATATTGCATAACAGTAAATCTTCTATTTTTTGGTTTGAATAAAAATTCATTATGTGAATAAAAAATCAAAATGGAATTCATTTGTAAATCCTAAAAATGTAACTAATGAACAGAGGAAATGTTAGTTTAGTGCCAGGAATGCCTGCATTGTTTATTCTGGACCTTATTTTGAAATTGGAATGTTTTGAACTTTGCATTAAATTGGCCAAATTGCCAATTTCCAATCACTTTATTTTGTAGTTGAGACATTTGACTTGGCGATTTCTTGTGCTCAATCGATAGAATAGAAGAAATACTAGTGAAGTAGCCAAGAATTTAGTCGACTGAAATAATGTAATTGGCGTAAAATGGGAGTCAAAGTCTGCAAAATCACTGATATGTAAATATCGCTGACACATCAAAATTTGCAAGAGCATAATTTTGTCAATTTTCCATCAAATTTTGTACTTTTTGTTTTATTACCTTCAGAAAAAAATTCTCTACCATTTCATAAGAAAAAATAACAAAATTATTTTTTGAAAATTCTTGGACCCTGGTGCACACTGAAATTTGCCCTGTGGACCCTGAAAGGGTTAACCCTTTGACTGTCGCGGCCATATATATACGTCTTACGAGGTACCGTGTTTGACGTATATATACTCATAAATTCTAGCGGCTTCAAATCAAGCAGGAGAAAGCTGGTAGGCCCACATGTGAGAGAATGGGCCTGTGTGGTCAATGTGCACCATATAAAAAAAATCCTGGAGCATGCAGTGCATAATGAGAAAAAAAAAACTCAGAC